TCTAACGCTGCAGTTCAAAAATGAAATCACAAGCGACCCCCCACCCCAGCCCCGTGACCCTAGAGTCGCCATTGCTGATAAGCCGCTGCTCGCACGAAACACACTAAAAAAAAGGCGAATGCTTCTCTTCGAGAAGATGGCGGACGTCTTCAGCGTCTGATGTGAAGTTCTTCTACAAATATTTCGCAAAAAACAAAGATGAAGAAAAACTCGATTCTCGTGTTACGTTGATGTCATCAGAGCTTGCAACTGCTGTCACAATTAGGGTAGCGTTTTAAATAGCACACCCTGTACCTAAAACTACAATGCTTTGTATTTAATTTAAAGTTATATTAATATATGCATTAGAAGCATAACACGTGCTGACGACAAAACTTCAGTTGGAATGCGGCCATGATCACAGCCTGTAGCACCCTTGAGCTAAAAGACACCGCTTGCCACATGAAAGGGACAAACAAAATTTAATGAAGCCAAGAATAATCCCTCGATAATGAAGTCTGTCTTCCCATCCGCATCTAGGTCTTCCGAATGGTGTCTTCCCTTCAGGATATCCAACTAAAATTCTGTATGCATTTCTCATCTCCCCATGCGCGCTACGTGCACCACCCATCTCCTGCTCCTAGACGATCCTAATATCTGGTGAAGATTAGCAGAATATCCTGAATTGCAAGGATTCCCCGACTTTGACCTCCTCTTAATTTTCTACACACACTTCGATGCCTTATTCCACAAACCGAGCGGGGGTGATAAAACTGCGCCATTTTCGTCTAGTCATCAGTGTTCTAGGCTGTGGAAATTTCCAGACGCTGAAGTGTGACGTAACATCGCCTGTGTTTGCGTTTTTTAATTAATTTAAAAATCGCGTTTGTTACGCTCGGAGAACTTCCTTGAAGTGAGCGACTTCACGGTAGGAACAAAAAAGACCCCTTTGCTCAGGGCAGAACGCTTTCTTTCAACAGGGCAATTTCCTTGAAACATTTTCACAGGAAATGATCAATAATTTTCCTTGTTCTGTGAAGGGAGTTCCCCGTTTCGCTCGTGTTTTTCCTCCGTTTACACTTTATTCGAGGTTGCTTACTCCGGCAACAGCCAGACCTACAACATAGTCACCCACGGGGCAGAATTTATTTTCAGAAGCTAATAGTTGCTCAGTTAGTCAAACAATTCCCCGCCTTTTATAAAGCCCGAAAGTTAATCACCGTGGTCAAACGAACCCGCCACTGGGTCCCTAATCAAAGCCAGTTGAATCCAGTCCACACTCTCACATCCTGTAAAAAGGACATTTCAATATTCCCCACTCATCGATCTCGTCCTTCATATTAACTTTCTTCTCATACGTTTAAAATTGAGCCCTTAAAAGTCTAGTGGTAAGTATATGTACCATCTGCTTCAGTAATCAACAATTCTTCATTTTGTATTTATGTGTTTCGTATGATTCTCAGAACAAACATCGATCATTTCCTTAAACAGCGTTAACCAGTTGATCTTTATAATGGTGAAGTGTGGTGTTTTCTTCGCGGTACGGACTGAATTCTTAAATATTTTTCAGACTATCTTCAGCTTCCGAAAGCCAACGCTCTGATCTCACAGTCGGCCAGCCAGCACGAGCCACAAATGCAGGCATCTGAGATCCATCCAGTCACTTTTTACGAACACCCTCGTTCGAGTTCCTGGATGTCCGACCGGGAAATACCTGTGGCAAATCATATGGAACGAGGACGAAATTTGAATGTCGCGTATACCGAGAAATCCTTTCGCTCTGAGGTCAGCCTCTCTCTCTCTCTCTCTCTCTGACTCAGCACGCTGACTAGAACAGAAAGACAACAGAACTATTCGTTTGCTGGTGAATGGTAAGTCACAGGTCGTAACCCAAATTTTCTGCTGCGTAAATGAAATCGTCTGGATATTGGAGTGCTTGGATCGCGGCCAGCTAGTATCTGCTGGTTTTTATTGTGGACAACCAAACGACAGAGCCAAGGCACTGACCTCCAGCGAAGTGTGGAATTTTGTTCAGAGATTCACACACAAATTCTGGACAGAGATAAACTTTGAAGACCCAATGGTAACTATATATACCACCTGCTTCAACAATCAACAGTTATCCACAAACTTCCCCCAGGGAGCAAAGTCCTTCTTGAAAAGCTGATAGTCACTAAGCTACTCAAGAAATTCCCAGCCATTTATGCAACCCGAATGTTCGCTGCCGCGAAGTCACGTGACATCCTCATAACCCACTTCTTCAAAACGAATATCAATATAGAGCTGTCCAAGTGCGCATTAGTTTCTCAAGCGGAATATTCTGTCCACGTTCCCCATATTCGATTGTATATCATATCCTACCATGCGTGCTGCACGCCTACCCATCTGATCGCCCTAAAAATGCTCGTTTTAACCAGGAGAGAAAAAAACACGAGCCTAACTTCGTCTCTAAGGTCCAAATATCGTCCTCAGTTTTTTTGTTCTCAAAAATCCTAATTTCAAGAAGATGGCCGTTTCCTGGGTTTGCTGCCTCTGAAACGTCGGTAAACTCCTACCGGACTACAAGGCGCAGAAACCCAGGAGTCAGCCATCTTCGGATTCACGGCCGTGAGAACCTGAAATTTCACGTCGTCAGTTCTCGTGTTATTCCGTTAGGGAAGACACCAAGTTCAACACCCACACAAAATAACAGCTAAATTGTTAGACGCAAAATATTCCAAAATCCAATCGCGTGAAGACTTTGCTACGTGACATCATCAGACATCGGCAAAGATCTCTCTGCGACCATAAATTGGCATTGAAACATTTCTTGACATCACAATGACGAGTGACGTCCATGTCGGTCTGTTTACAAGAAAGTTTATTTTTGCTTGTAAGCTTGCATATTTAGTACGACGAAGAAACACAAGGACTATTTACAGAGACGCACCTTTTCGCAACAGCCAATCAGAGCGGAGTGCCTCATATTTATAGCAGAACGTCTATTCGGTAACACAACATTCCATGCGTCATTCAGTTCACATGTGCGTGATTAATTTGTTTATCATTTGCAGATAAAGTTTCTGACGCAGGTTGAAAAAAGCAGAGGTCTCCAGAACACGAAATCGCAGAAGGAGAACATTTAAAAATCGAGAAAATCGACTTCCCGTTCAAAGCCATTCTGCTTTTGAATCCACGCATTTTTACGTCGGAATCTCTCGCGAATAGCAAAGGTTAAACAATGATCACGGAGTTCAGCGCCTGAGAAGCTAACAGGACGCTCAGCCTTGATTTCAAGTCACTGATTTTCATCAGTTGCAGAAATTGTCTGCCATTCTCGCAACGGCTAATTTCAAATTCACATAATGCTGTCCCACGTGACTCTTTGTCCGCGGAGATACAGAATTCGAAGAGAACTTTATTTACAGCACTTCTTCGTTTCGGTTTGTATCGCGGCTAGAAGGCGTGTGTACCCTGAGAAGCATCCAGAAAGGAAACGCATACTTGAGGCGTAGTTAAAGAGTGTTTGTGATATAATTAACCTCCTTCCATTCACAGACGCCCGGCTACTAGCGTCACTCTGCTGCCCCACGACCAAAACAACTTCAGGAAATATTTCTAGAAAATTAATAGCACAAAGCAGGTTCTCGTAAAGAAATTACTACCAGTGCCATTTGTCGATGATTTAGAAACAAATGGAATTCTCCGAGGTCGATACTTTTTGTCTTTCCCACTTTACCCATCGTCATTTCTCTTAAAGTCCCAAAAATCTTAATATTCACTGTTTCGAAGGATGGCTCTTCCTTTGTCGGATGATCTTTAAGGTTCAAATACTTTTAAAGATTAAAAAACAATTGATAACGCCGAAAACAAACAAAGCTTTCATAAGAACCGCGGGTGACTTCCCCTGTTGGTAAGGTATCGGCTTCCTGCACAACAGCGCAGCCGGATAAGTTATCTAACTTCACGGCCCGGAACAGATAAAAGAATCATCACGCCTTGCAACATGTCTCTGAAATATTAATAGATTTACTTAGAAAGATCCTGCAGATGGGACCCCGGGAATGTCACTTTAGAAATTCTGTGCGATCATAACTGGGACACTACAGAAATCACGGAATTCAAATGAACATTTTCCGTGTTCTTTGGTGCATTAATTTTTTTAATTATTGTACCTAATGAAGCATCTGGAACAGAACGTCGAGTTGCTACCTCTTTTTAACTCGGAAAAGAAACCTTCGGGTTCCATTAAAAGATGAGGAATGGTTCGAACAGTTAAGCTACTATCAGTTTGTCAATAAGATGTCTCTTGAGTGTACATGAAGAAGGCATTCAGTGGCGATTTGCAATTGAGAATTGGGCAGATTTTTTCGAATATTTCTAAGGCGAAAATCGAATGTGTCCTTTCGGGCGTAAGGACACTGAATTCTACGAAATGAATGAAGCCTGCATTTTAATGACTGGCTGTTTCCGGAACCGAAATAAACCAGATACGGCCGGCGCATTCGTGACGCCCTATTAAGGTCACCAGATTCACGCCCTGATGCCACACATTCTTACAATCAACTAACTCCACGCTGCAGTCATTATTCAGAACCTGACAGTCGCTCACCTAGTCAAGATATCTCCCACCTTTCATCGAACCCAAAGGTACATAGTCGTGTACACAAGAGCCCACAACACCTTCTTTAAGACATATTATCCTCCATCTACATCTATGTCTTCCTAGTAGACACTTTCCTTCAAGTTTTCCAACAATAATTTTGTGTGAATTCCTCAAATTTCCCTTGCATGCTACATGTCCTGTCCATCTATCAAAGACTAACTGGGTCAAGTCGTCGATGCCAGCGGTCTTCGTGATATTTTTCAAGCAACTTAAGTGTAGCCAGCGTCTGCCCACTTCCACAGACGTTCACTTATTCCGTAAATGTTGGTCATTCCAGGAAAATTTCTTGGATTTCTCCCCTCCCGCTGCTTAGCAGATTCAAGATGTGCGGCACACAAAATGCGTGAATCACATTCAAAGAAAGGATAAGACAGGAAAGTTTTCTTATGGTTACATTTCGAGAGTTACAAAACTCTGACACAAATGTGAAACGTAACATCAAAGTCAGAAACACACACAGACGTCGGATCAGTCTTCCTTAGGATCCGTTAACTTCAAACATCGCAATTACCTTCGTCGGCATTACGAGGACACTCTCGTTAAACCTCCTCGACTACGACAACATGGTCACCACATTCAAACGTGGCTAGACTCCGCATTAGTTAAATTGACTTCTGCACAAACTTGCGTTAGACATTTCTCATTCTAATATAGTACAAAACAGTAACATTGAAAGCACGCTGTTTCTTCCAACAGCCTAATAGAATTTAAAATTAAATTATCCAGACACGTGAGAGCATCAGTCGCAGTGAAAATGGAACGAGGAAACAGCCGACAGACAAAATTACCATTTTAGCTTTCCTCGTTGCCTTCGCTCAGTTTCCTCTTCCTGTTTCCCATCACTGTCCGCGTGATCTCAATGAGAGTGCCAGTCAGCTTCTCCGTCTGCTCCGCCTGCTCCTTCAGCAGCGCCTCGATACGACCGAATCTCTCCTCCTCCCTCTTCTCCCTAGCTTCTTCTCTCGCTCTCCTTTCTTGGTCCAGACTCTGCACGATGGCCAGAACTTCGGCCAAGTTCACAGACTGATTGTGCGGGAACTGCGACGACGACCTGACAGGCGCGAACGCGGCCGAAGAGTCAGCGTCGTTGTCAGACAGGGGATCGTCCGACCTGCTGTCCACTCCCATGTCATCACTTTTCAAGGGTTTAATAAGTTTCCTTGTGGTTTCCAACGCCTTCTGTAATTCTTCCATATAAGGTGGTGGTGTTTTGTTTCCTGGTTTTGTTATGTAAACAATATAAGCCCTTTTCAAATTGCGCCACTTCTGGTGACACGTTTTACCCGCGTCTGGACCGAGATCAAAGCCTTCTTGCAACAGTTCCTCAGCCACTTGGGCCCACACAGTCTTCTTAATTGTATTTCTGTCCAGCAGCATCGACTGAATCCTTTCACTGCCAACGATCCGGATCAGCGCGATCGTCGCTCCGGGTTTGTCCAAGTGCGACCTCCACACGGTAGACTCTGAAACAGAATTGAATCATACATTCTGCACGTAGCTACAACACGCGGTGATTTTAAACCACGCCACAGTCAGAGAAGAAGAGTTTTCGGCGATATCCAGTGAAAACTGACTTCAAAGTCCTCAAATGTATTCAGTAGTACCGCTTACCTCGTCAAGGAAAATCTAAAAGTTAAAGGAGTTAAAACTTCAGCAAACTCAACTTCGACTCAGAAACAATGCACAAATACGAAGCATTGACATGAGTCTGGCAAAAGCAACAACAGATCAGAAGGCAAAGTAATCACAAGGTGAGATTCCAGGTTCTAGTGGCAGCAAGTATGAAGACGGCCGTCTTCCGAGTTTTGCACTGTGTAGTCTGGAAGAATTTTACCATATTCCTGGATGCTTCTGGATCATAACAGTCTCCTGTAGGACTTCATCAGCCGTTTAGACCAGCGGAGAACTGACGGCCCTCTCTGCACTGCTGAGAATGTACTTGGTGGGCGGCGCTGAGTTGGGTATGCAGCACCCTCCAATGAGACATCACTCAGGCTGACCCGGCATCTCCTTGCTGTCGGCCAGGGGGGCTAGGCGCTGAGCTCCATGCAGCTGCTGAACTGGCAGACATCAACCAGACTACACGGTGCAACAATCCAGGAGACAGCCATCAAATGTCAGTGTTCTGAGTAAATATGCCACTGATGTACAGCGTGGACGTGCCGCAGTCAACACGCTGGACAGCCATGAGGGGTTAACACAGAATGAGGGAAGGATAAGAAGCAGCAGATAAATTGAAACAAAATGTGAAAATTTTGGATGTACAAGACGCTGAAAGTACCGTGTACTTACTGCCACTGTCGGTAACAGTGCCTGCACTCATGGCTGCTCTGCGGGGCAGTCTACCTGCAATGAGAAAGCTTTATGTTTACATCAAGGCTTGTGGGACTTGTTACAAATACTTCAATGTAGAACCTCAGTTTCATAAACACAATCTAAATTTTGGTACCTGCATCACCTCCACACAAGTTATAATGGTTATACGATCATAAATTTTATCAATGCATACACAAGAGAAGATCGTCCAGTGAAAAAGTTTATCCAGTGTTCAGTTGGATGTTATATATATCACTGTGCTTCATGTCACAGCCAAAAGAATTTGAATGTGACTCGGTATTTGAACTCACAAGAACAAGACATATTTAGAAATGAGAGATACCGCTCCATAGAAAAGGTGTAATTGGGATACAAACAAACGTAGTGCAGTGATGTCAGAAAATCATAATTTTCTCCGCAAAACCCAACTGATAAATGGGTGGGTATTATGAAGTAGCTCATGTAGCATAATTAATAAACAATGACAAGCAGAACATTACAGAAAGTCGAAGTACAGTGTTATAAAGAGAATATGACTGGATGCTTACAAGCATGCATTTCTTACATAATGGTATAAACAAATGATGATTAATGACACATTCAGTGTCCAAAAAACATGCATTTTATGAATAAAATAAATACATTTTAATAAAATAAAACATTACATACGTCATCAAACGAATCAACACAACGATGTCCGATATACATCTATGCACAAATGACCCCAAACGATTGATGCTTGACTGAAAAGCGGCACAAAGTACACAGTTATATGTCATCGCATTCTAAACGTTGTAACCAAAACTATGAGTCCTCAGGCTTTCAGACACTGGGCCGCTTGTCAGTCCCTTCGCCTTCAAAATGGAAATACACGGGTCCTCTGCAACATCGGCAAATCAGCCCACCACAATAAAGCATCATCAACCAACAAACTAAACAAAATTAGGATATTGTTTGCGTTGCAAGGTTATGTCACCAGTCTCTAACTGAAATCTAAATAACAAATTGTAGTGCTCTAATGTTAACAGGAAGTATATATTCACCAGCAAGAACTCAGATTCCATTCACACACACACACACACGCCGTTTTAAAGTTTTACGAAAAGACGGATTACGTAAAAGTTATTCACACTTTCATTTACACCACAAGACTTCCGACCAACTCCTGAACATGGCTGCCAACATCTACGTGAAACCAACGTAAAGTTTATTATTATTAAGCATTGTGCTTCTCACTGTGCATTTAACGTAATCTGTAACATTTAAGATCCGTGACATTTCTACGTCATGCAGTATTTAATCTGAGTTACATATGAAGCACTGTTGGAATGGTAATCCATGTATTGTATCAAGGGAAATTATGTAAGGAATGTTACTGTAACAGATAAGTGGCGCAAGATTAAATTGTGTAAGAGTGATCACAGCAACGTGTTGCGTTATCATGTCTCTGAAAGAAAGTAACGCTAGCAATACTGGCTCAAGTGAATCAGAATATGATGAAGTTAAAACAACATTATTGTACCACAACCTGAGAGATGTTAGTACAAGCTTCTGTAATTACACTGTTAAATAATTAACATTACATTATATCTGGTATTGAGGTTATGTTGGGATTATCTATGGAGTTTAATTACTGTTACCTAATTGTAGAACAGTTCTATCCACAATGATCATTTAGGTTGTGACGCCCTGTGGACTGGTAGGTGGATACATGTTATATAAACGTTTCGGAGGAATATACTGCCTCTGTCTTCAGCTCATCCAACCTAAAATCCACATGACATACACAACCCATATCACTATAAACAACTTCACTGCCATGAGAACCTCTTTTATAGAGCTCTATCTAGTCTAGTAATTGCCTGCATTTCAGATTTTTGTCCCTGTAAATTTGTCATGTTCTCTGTAACTCTTTATTCAAAATATTTACACTGTATCCTTCTGCAACTACATTTCTTTTTAGATTCCACTTTTTATGTTAAATTATATTTGTACACATTGGATTCATTATGGTGTCACTTTTCAGAGAAATGTAACTGGGCAATTGCAAATGTCACTAGTGGTGTTTGTGGCATTAAAGAATGTGACTGTGTTGAGTAACAGTTTCTAGGGACTGTATAAAATCGTTTCCGATTATGACTATGGCTTTGGCAGTTCCCACAATCACTATCTAAAATATTCTCTGTATATGATTCATTAATTTCATTCCAGAATTTTCAGCAAGTAGGAAGCCAATTGAAGAAGTACAGTGAGATTATACAAGATCTTTCAAAAGATATGGATGACATAAATAAAAGCATGGCTACGCTTCAAGAACACTCTCTGGCCGCAAAGAATCAGGCAGCAATCGGAGAAACAACTACCCAGCAGAAGGAAATGGCAACTATTTTGCCTGTGTCTCAGTGAGAAGTTTATAGCAGATATAAGTGAGATATGGCAGGAAAGAACAATCAGTGGTACTGGTTACGAGTGTCACTAATGTCTCTACTACCACAGTGCACAAACTAGATCATACATCATAAACTCCACTTACTATTAAAACCTTTACATCAAATGAATGCTACAAAATCCTCTTGGACAACCGACCATCAGTACCAAGTTGAAAACCAATTTTTCAGAGACTCAGCATGACCGTGATGATGAAGACTGAGCGAGTCCCCAAAATTCTGGTTTTTAACTCAGCACTGGCACAGCTGATCACCCAAGAGGATTTTATAGCACTCTTACATATTTAAATCAAAGATCATTTCCTTGTGAACTTAATGAAGAAGTGGTTTTTGTAAATTCTAACAAAGTTGGTTTTCTGAGTTAGGTATATTATATTATGTAATATAAGTTCTCTTCAGACCACATTCTTGTATGAAGAACCAAAGGGGAAGTCTAGTATAAATCTTTCCAGACAGTCTACTTTAATTTCTTGGTATGGGACGTCACAGGATAGGTTCTTTAAAGTGTTTGAGTAATGTACAAATCAACAATTAATCTTTGATATGCTTTTCATTAAATTAACAGAATCAATAAATGTACAAGTCACATTTTGCTATTCCTTCTACAAAACGTTTTTTCTTCATATTCTAGCCACACTAAAACACATGTTAATGAAAAATTAAAATAATATAAAAAATAAATCAAGCACAGACAGTTGTAAAGTTGAAGTACAGATGGCAGTGAATAAGTTGACACATTTTTTTCCCTGTCTGCATTCTATCACCCTTTCTTTCAGGTTGACACCAATCAGAATAATTTTTGTTTGTCAAAAAATTATTTCTTGAGCATCGGACAGATACAAAAGTTGTGCTACTGGAAGTCCATTATAAAACTGTACTGCATTTATAAATGTAATATTCTTTAATACCTGAAATTTACCCTATCAGTTAACACAACTGTTTCATTCAACACATCAGTAGATTTTAGGTTTTCACAGTAGTCAGCATCCAGACTGCAATGTTTTAGGTTGTATTGCTGCATACGAGTAAGTCTTAAAGGCAGTTACAAACATTTCAGAGGAACCTACTACCTCCATATTTACAGTCAAATTGAGCATGGCTGAGACAGAAAGACCTTCCCAGGCACCACCTTTCTTGTATAAGCACCATATGTTCCAGCCATACTGACTTAAACCATGAAGATAGAAGCAACAGATTCCTGCAAACCTTTGGTAAACGCCTCCTACAAAACAATATGGCTCAGAACCCAAAGAACACGCAAAACTGTTTTAGGTTTGTTAAGCTGTAAAACAGCAGTGTCAGCCTGATCCTGAATCAAGCTTAATTAAGATCAGTAGTATTTTTTACGTGTATTACCCTTTTGGTAGCGAAGGACAACATTATTTTGAAACATATTAACACTTGTAGGAATATAATCACCACAGAACAGACCATCATGAATGTCTCGGATTTGCTGCACTAACAGTTAAGAAATTTCATCGAGGAAAGTACAAATGTAATGTCTCCATACAAAAAACAAACATCTTTTGTAAGTGATGACTTATTTCGAACCCTCTCCACACCTTCTCCTCCGCAACTTCTTCCCACGTTCCTCTTTCCTTCCCTCTGTGCAACATCTTTCTGAACCTGATGTTCCCATCTTGATCTTGGTCTCCCTCTTGTGCATTTTCCTTTTTCATCCATTCTTAAAATGCATCCAAACTATCTCACTGTTATCTGTTTATATGCATTCCAAGGTGTTTATCATTATATTGTCTAATTTCTTCATTTATTATTGTACGTTTTGGTCTCTTTGAAAACTAAGCAACAGATATCGATGAAATCTGGTATCAAAGAACCATGGTAAGAGCTCACAATCAAACTTTGTAACAAGGCTAAAATTATGCTCACTAACACAAATAACTTGTACACTGAACATCAAGAACTTTCAACTCATTCCTGAATATTTAACTAAAAATAAAAGTATTCTATGTATGTTTGCAGAGTTAAGCTTGTATATTCATTGCCTTTCTTAACAGATTTGTATCTCTTATTAAATGAACTTCATAGGAAATGAGGTATTCATAATAAATTAAAAAAATAAATAAAAGGGAAACATTTTCCAGGTTAGTGCATATCTCAACTTTTGTTACACAGACTAGATACAAACTACATGGTGATACGCATTTGGCGAAGTAATTATAACTGGACTGAGGATTAAATGTGTGATAAGGTATTCACCTCGATATACCAAGTTGGACACAAGCAGGCGTTTAATACTATCAACACTCAGTCAAGCCTGCGGCTCACGTGGACAGCATTTGAAATCACTCAACTTGATGCATAATCTTTTGGTTTTTCCTCCCATACAAATTAGGTTTCTTCAAAGGTTATAACAATACATTCACTGGCAATGAATAAACAACAAATTCAAACGCATAAACTTGCACAGTCTAATCAGAGCGTTTGATGTGGCAAAGCAGACGTGTTACTTGTGGCAGTGTTGGTATTCATGTGGCAAAGTATGTCACATCTAGTTCTTCTGTAGAATAAATGTAACTGGAATGAAATGAAACCTGGCATACTTAATTACTGGGTCATTTAAGCATGCCGAGAGCTAAATCAGCGGGCCCGAGGAGTTCATGCTGCAGCTGTACTATGTAAGAAGCCATTCTCTAAAGGTTTATATGGCAGTGGCTGAAAGACATTGTTCTGTAAAGTTATTTTCACTTAATATTTCTTCTCACATTCATTTGGCATGACAGAGACTGTCACCCTTAATAAAACATTAAACATGAAGTAAGAAGCTAATTACTACATAAAACAATAACGGAAATATACGACCATCCAAGATATAATTCATATTAAATCAGGAAAGGCCTGAAGATGACACAGTTACACACTTCTTTCTGTAATAAAAATCAGCTTGTTAATTGGTAAATAAACAGGAACACCTTGTGTGGTTTTCATATTCACATACATTTTCTTCAAAAACCTGAACCAAATGTATTTAAGACATGCAACATAAATTCTTATTTCAACAATGCTTTGTACTTTACGTAAGTTTGCTTTTTATCTCCCCTTTCCGTCGCACAATACAAAATTTATACCTGATATTCTGAAAATTATTAAAACCACACTCAAGACAGTAAGAAGTACATGTACAAAATATAAAATCAACCCTTTTGTCAAAAGATCTAAGGAGTGTTTAAAATACTGTATTATAAATACAATATTGAAGCATATGACTAATTATTTGCTGCAACACATCTAATATTCACACTCCCAAAAATAAATTTAGTCATATGTGTGATACTATCCCCGTAACATCACGACAGTATCCCAGGAAACAATGTGCTGCTATTCCACAACATGACACATACAAGAATCAATGCATTGAACAGAAGACTGACAAAAAACAGAACGGCTAGGAACAAATTATCCCGCACAGCTGAAAGAAAGGTTCGATGTCTCTGCGCAGCAGTCTCGGTCGAAGACTTGTCCACCGAGCTTCGACTGTCGTTTGAATTTTGACTGCTTGACCGACTGAGAACATCAACTGCTGGCGTGTGTGGCGGCTTCAACGGTATAATAGAAAATGCAGACGGGTTCCAGATAGGACTCAGAGGACGAGGGGATTGAGGGGCATAGTAACAAGGTACAGGCTGTGGCTGTGGCAGCAGTGGAGATCCATAGCTTGGCAAGAAAGTAGGCATCTGAGGAATCATACTGTAGGTTTGGTGAGTGAAGACCGGAGGTCCTCCATAGTACGGAGTCCCAACAAACGTACCGCGCTTTGATCTAGCGCAGTAAGTGGGGGCTGCAGTGTATGAACAAACTGGCTCCGACAGCGCAGAGAAGCTGTCAAAGTCTGCACCACAAGTGGAACCGGTACATGAATTTGGCAGACTCGTAGCTCCATCACAAACGCCAGGCTGACTCGACTGCGAGACAAATCCTGAGCTCTGGCTGGATGATCGTGACAATGGAGCAAAAGCAGTTGCAGTAGACATCTCTTGTGATTCATTTCCTGTCAATGGCAGAGCCTTACCATGAACTGGAGACTGCCAGTACCCTCCAGCTACCCACGATGACTGGGTAACATTCTTACACAAACTGAGCTGAGACGGTCTAATAATGGGTCTCTTTCGGTTTCTTAAACTGCCATTAAAGAGCTCATTGCACCTATTTTGTCCATACACCTTGGTCTCAAATGAAGAAATGCCATTGTTTTTTCTACTCATCCAATTTTCATAAGATGAGGAACCTAAATTCAAGTTTCCAAATCCACGACCTAAGTCTTCTGAGTTGTTGTCTTCATAATTGGACGTAACGGTCGACGGCGAGTGTTCGATATGAGACGAGGTACGGGCAGAAGTGCCGCTAATGGGGTAGAAATCACAGACTTTAGGAAGTTTAACACCAACTTCATGAGATGACGAAGAACTATTTACATGTTTCTGTTGACAGTTTCGTATTGTCGGCGTAGGGCCGTCATCAGAAATATTAGATCTGAAATAAAATGTCCACATTAATACCAAGAGATATGCTGTGCTGAATTCTGTAGTAAATGTAATCACTAGAAACTATAGCTATTCTAAAACAAATGCAAATGACTTACAGCTTGGCCTGAATGCTCTGAGCAAACACCACACATCATTCCTACAATGTGTAAACCCTCGCTTAGGTCCGTGAGAAATAATTCTCGGCTTCCGAACAGAAACAACACAGAACCTTAAAAACTCCAACTTGCAAGTGTAAAACCTGATGCTTAGGCTTTTGTCTTGAGCTTTCATAAACACAGTAGATCTCCATTAACACCAAACAAACGGGCATCTGTCCCGTCCAACAAGTTCCATTTGAACCTTGGTTTAGGCTTTTAGAAACAAAATATCCATACTCACAGATCACGGGATGATTCCAAAGAACTGTTGCGACTACAACCTTTTCTAGCTATGTTGTGACATTTAACTGCAGGGTACCTTCCTCTCGCCACCAGGGCATCCAAGGTGCAAACACACAGAGTCACGAAGGCAATAACAACCTGGACAGAACAGATCTACTGCTAGCAGATCGGACACAAAAAATTTCCAGCAAAGAACATATAAAAATCTACCAAGCTAAAATTCCCAGTCTTATTACGGCAGTAACATCGGATGAGAAAAACACGAGCAGATGGTGCCTAAGAAATATGCAAGGCAACAACAATAATATACTAAATGTTGCAGACGAATAGTTAGCACTCCTGTTTCATATTCAGGAGATCCTGATTCAAATCTCAGCTTAGAGCCTGAGGTTTTGTGTGTTTTCCTCAGTTGCTCCAGGAAAATGCTGGGAAAGGCAACAAAAACTAATTCTGTATTTACTTCCAATTCTTCATTCAATAATCTTACTATAAAAATTTGTGATTAGTCGTTGTCTTCAACCAATTTGTCGTCAAAAAATGACGTCATCAACAATGCCAACAGATATTTGTTTACTCGGCATTGTTGTGGAACACAACAATG